GGATGGATGGATGGATGGATGGATGGATGGATGGATGGATGGATGGACTTTATGACAATCTCCTTATATTCTTGTTTCCTCTCTTCCATCCTCCCACTGTCATATTTCTTTTTGGCTAACCTCTTTCTTTGAACGGTATCCTGCACTTCACTATTCCACCACCAGGTTTCCTTATCCTTCATTCTCTGTCCAGATTACACACAAAGTACCTTCCTACCTGTCTCTCTAATTACTGTTGCTGTAGTAGCCCAGTCATTTGGAAGCTCTTTCTTACCATCCAGAGCCTTTAACAGCTCCTCTCTGAATTTCTTACAACATTCTTCCTTCTTCATCTTCCATCATTTGGTCTTCTTCTCTGATTTTACTCTTTTTCTCTTCTTCACAACAGCAGTCATTCTACACACAACCATCTGATGCTGTCTGGCCACACGATCCACAATCTTACAGTCCCCAATCTCCCTCAGGTTTCCTCTTCTACACAGAATGTAGTCGACCTACGTAAACCTTCTTCCACTTATAGGTCACTCTTTGTTCCTCCCTCTTTCGGAAATTGGTGTTGACTACAGCCATTTCCATTCTCTTGGAAAAATCCACGACCATCTGTCCTTCCTGGTTTCCTTTCTTGACAGCAAACCTACCCATCACTTCCTCATCCCCTCTGTTTCCTTCACCAACATGTCCATTCACTTCTGCTCCAATCACCACTCTCTCCTCCCCGGTAGTGCTCTCTGTCGCTTCATCCAGATCCTTCCAAAATGTATCTTTCTCCTCCACATCACATCCAACCTGTGGAGCATAACACTTACAACATTTAGCATCAGACCTTCTACTTTTACCTTCAGGGACATCATCCTATCTGACACTCTCTTCACCTCTACAACATTCTTAGCTAACTCCTCCTTCAGGACCACCCCTACTCCATTTCTCTTTCTATCCACACCAGGGTAAAACAGTTTAAACTCTGCTCCAATGCTGTGAGCCTTGCTGCCCTTCCACTTGGTCTCTTGGACATGCATAAAATTTACCTTCCTCCTCTGCATCATGTCAGCCAGCTCTCTACCTTTGCCTGTCATTGTCCCCACATTTAGAGTTGCAACCCTCAGTCCTACATTCTTTGCTTTCCTCTTCTCCCTCTGTCTCCTGACACATTTCCCTTCTCGTGGTCTTCGACTAACAATAGCACAATTTCCGCTGGCACCCTGTTTGTCAACAGCATCGGTGGCGGTCATTGTTAACCCGGGCCTCGACTGGTCCGGTATGGTTTCACTTTGATGAACACACATTATAGTTTTGGCAAAAGTGTTTTATGCCAGATGCCCTTCCTGACACAACCCTCACCATTTACCCAGGCTTGGGACCGGCACAAGAGAAACACTGAGTTGTGCTCATTACTGGCTGGTTTGGCTAAGGTGACTGGTGGATGTTTGGATGGACAGAACATTTATCAATAGACTATTTTTATTAATCAATATAAAGTTGCTTTTCTTTATTAATAGGAAGTAAAATAGGTAACCCTTTACTCACCACCTTGACTTGCGCTATAGCACACAAATGGCTGTGAGACATTGCAGTAATATTCGTAATAGACACCTTTAATCTGAGCGCCACATAACTCCCACTGATTCCTGGAATAAATTGGCTTGAAGCTCCACTTGATAGTGTCGCTTGCCTGTTCAAAACCACCGGGTGCTGACCACTCCCAGCTCTGCGACTGGTCATACAGACCGATCCACACTGATCCACTGAAGCTGCCAGCAGCTGCAATCAGCTGACTCACGTCCTCCATGTTGTCCACTGTGGCCAGGTCAGTGTAGTTGTCTTGGCAGTATTTTTGAGCATCAGACCAACTCATCGGCTCATTAACAAGGATGTAGTGATGAAGGCATGAACACAATCCTAAAAACAAATGTCTTAAAGTTAAGAAAACACTACATAAAACAGTAGATTTAACTATCAAAGTTACATTGAACAAAGTCTAGAGAGTCTTATAATTTAATGTCTAGTTATAGGTTAAAAGACGTTATAAGGGTGCAAAAAATAATGAAACTGTGGTTTAAACATTTTGGTTTAAGATTTTCTAGTTGTTCTTTGGAAGAATTCGAAAATTCTCATGACATACAAAAAAATCAACATTAAAATCTATCTGCTTTGAGCAGTAAACATATTGTGCTTCTGGATTACACACCTGAATCTGGTTTATAACAACGGTTTTAGACAAGACTCTTCATATAAAACGTATTCAAAAATAACCCCGATTTCATTATTGTTTCTAGTTTAGAGTATAAAATCACCCCCATTTTATCCATCTATTGAAATAACCCTAAATAAAATTTTAGTTCAACCATTTTGTGGAGAGTTTAGTAAATAAAACCCTAAAATTTGATGTGAACAAAAAAATAAAAACATCAGATCAAACACTCCAGACATCGGAACATATCAGTTCTTTTTAAACTGCCCAGAGAACAGTACATTTTTTAAACTAAAAGCAATATAAAAATGTATAGAAAAGCATTTATTTGGGGAAAAAACTGCTGTTTAAAGTTTCCACACAATCACAAAGACTTACCCAATAAAAAGAAAATGTTCATCAAGGTCCTCCTGAAGCCTGAAGTTGAGAAAAGTTCAAGCAAT